ACTTTATGTTTTGTTTTATCTTTATTCATCTTATGCATATTATATAATATAGGTTTGTCTTTAAGTACCTTTCGATTTAAATAATCTCTATTCATATATATACTATATATTTTATTTTATTTTTTTAACGCACTAATTTTAATTATAGAAATAAATCTATATTTAAAACTTTTATAAAAATAATTAAATTAATCTATTTAACATTTTTAGTTTTATTTTTTTAAATATTCTTTTAATTCAGATTTTTATGTAATAAATTTGGTAACATATTTGGTATTAAACCATATTCATAATAAGGATTGAACCCTTTCATATGTAACCATATACACTGATTTAATTGTGCACGAATAACAGGATCATCTAAACTTTCTTGTACAGTAGTATCATAATAATACAATAGTTCTTTTTTATGATTATCAGTTTTAAATCTCAATAACCTTAAATTTTTATTATGTTCAACTAATTTTAGACCATATTCAATTGCTTCAGATATTAAGGTATGTTTAAATGTTTCAAAATCTTTACATTTTTTATATCCTGTAGAATCAGGTGGATAATGTAATAATTTTGTCGGTAAAGCATCAACTAGTATATATAAATCAAATTTACATAATAAATAATGGTCTAAAAAGTCAAAAACCCACCCAGGCCCGAAATGACATAATGATATTTTATTATTACTCATTTCAATGTTATTAATATCATCTTTTGTCTTTAAGTCTTTTAAGTTTTTTCTATTTTCTATCATATATAATTACTATATATTTAAATTTTTTTTTGTTAAACGCACCTAATTTTTTGAATTTATTAAATGTTTTTAAGTTTTAAGATGTAAAGTTTTATATGCTAAACTATATTTTTTATTACATAAATCACAATGCCATGGTTTTGAGAGCATATATAATGTCCTATGTTGTTTGATTTGTTCTTTAGTATAAATTTTTGGTCTTCCTCGTATTGGTTTATCTGAACACATATATACTAATACTATATATTTTATTTTTTAAATAGTTATTTAATGCGTTTAAGATAGATTCTAATAATACCAGAAGCAGTTATATAAGGACCATATTCATATAAATCAAATTTTATAACATAAACATCTGTATCTATATTGTTGATTTCATACTTAAAATAACAATCATCCCATCCATGATATTTATTAAACAAAGATTCAGTGATATGTGTAAACTGTGGTATATAAAAATCACTACTCATAGTATCTTTATTAGATGATTTAAATGTATTTAGTATAATCGGTTCATAATCAATATTCATTGCACACATAATATGTAAAATTTTTGTTATATTTTCTATATTATATTTATTTTTTGAAAAAGATAACCATTCATTTGTATTCAATTCATAATATGTAGTTATATATCTATCAATATCGTCTTTATAATAAAGTTCGTACTTTAATGATTTAATATACATGTTTTTTTCTTCCATTAATATATTTAATAAATCTAAATCAATTTCATGTCCTTTAAATTTATATACATCTTTGTTTTTATAACTTTAACCATTCTATATAATTACTATATATATTATTTTTTTTAAGGTGCGTTTAAATTATCTTTTGATTTATACAATGTTTTTTCAAAATCCTTCAAAACACCTTCTATATTAGAACTAGTTTTTTTACAACATAGAATAAAATCTCTAATATTTTTTAATATAACTTTAAGATTCATATATAATAGTAAATTTTTTATTTCTTCGACTGAACCCAATTGTTATAATAAGTACAGTCAATATCTTTATCCCACTCAAGGATTTTATATACTTTACCAAATAATTTATCATCAAAAACTCTTTTTGTCTTACTATTTTTCATATCTTTAACATGGTGTTTTAATGGTATACCCCTCCTACTAGCTAAACGTATTATATAATAGTTATACATAGAAATTTTTTTTTCTGAATCAACTTATGTTTAATCATAGTACCAACAATTTTTATAAAATCATGTGTCAATATATCGACATATTCAGAAGCCACACACAACCTAATTTTAATATAAAACCATTTTTTCCTTGAATGAACTGATTGTTGACATTTCCAAATCTCTGGTATCCACTCATTTACTACTTTATATGAATGGACAGAACCACAGCGTTTACAAACATTCATTTTATTGTTATCTGAAATAATTTCTTGATTTTCGCAACATAAGTATGTTTTAACAGACCTATTAATATAACTATCACATATCTTTTTATCACAAAAGCAACAATTTACATAACCAAAAAACTCTTCTAACTCTTTATGAACAAATTCATTGCAATACATATATACTAATACTATATATTTTATTTTTTAAGTAATTTTATATAATAAATATCCAGATATAATACCAATCACAACCATTGTACCAGATTGATAATTTTTCATATTCTTAGATGGTTTGTAAAAGTCATGTAATTGTGGTTCTCTATGAAATGTTAATCCGTTGTAATGTATCGTTTTTACTTTTCTAAGCATATCTAATGCTTTGTTTGTAAGTTCTATATCATCATCAGCATATTGAAGTTCTTGTCTTAGCTGTTGAATTTTATCATGCTGCTTGACTTCATTTTCATAGAATGCCTCTTTAGCCTTAGATAGGTCCTCGAGAGCCTTATTGTGTCTTTTAATTTCCTCAGCATAACCGTTTTTATCAAGTTTATGAAATAGCCAGCCTGCTAGGGAAAAACCTAGGCCGTTAATAACCGCTCCTACAGATGTTGTTAATCCACTAGTAATAATACTTGTCATATATATTTATACAGATTTAAATGGATTTTCAGGAACCCATTTCTTATCCTGAGCATATTTAACTAGCATTGTTGATGTTGTAATAGCAATAGCTAGTTTTGTAAAATCTTTAATATTATCAGTATCTGTTAATTTTTGCCCTAGTAATTTTTTAGATACCATAGAAATACCTATAGCAGTTGTTGTCACAAGCACTGAATCAAAAACCTCATTCATAAATTGTTTCTTAGTCATAGTATTACTCATATATAATAGGAAATATTTTATTCAAATGAGTCTAAATTATATTTTTTATTTTTTTGTATCAAAACATGTTTTTCACTAGTTGTTTCTTCTCTCGCTTTATCGTTTGTTAATTTTTCCTGCCTTTTATCATTTTTCCTTGTATAATAGAGACTAACAATAGCGGTTAATACTCCAACTGCTCCAAATAAGAATCCGTAATTAATATTCCAGCTATTATCCTCAATTTTCTTTTTATTTTCTAATTCAATCCTATCTCGCATCTTTTTTTCTTTAGAAGCTTTCGATATAGCAGCCAAGCGTCTCCCAGCTTCAACTCTAAGAGGGTCTTTCTCTTTCTTAACTGTAGTAATTTTTAGGTTTTCTTCAGACATGTTATATAATAATGTAGATTTTATTCACAGATAACTCACAGATAACTCACAGATAACTCACAGATCTTTATATTTTTTGTTATATTTACTCACCATACTATCTATAGGAGTACAAAAGTCAATTATAATATCATCGATAACTTTTATGTCTGATAGAAATATCACTTCATCATAAGGTAATCCTCTTAAATAAGATCTTAAATCCATAAGTATTTTTTCATATGATGTATATGCAAATTTACACATTTCTAAGTTATTATTAATCTTACTCTTAACCATATAACCTTGAACTAAAGCACCTAAGCCACTCAGGGTGGCTATAACTATCGGGTTTACAGTTATACTACCTATAATACCACCAGTCGAGACTAGAAAAATACTTCCCATGTTTAATGATAGTTTAATTTTCTTTAATTTATTATACTTCCATTTATAACAGGTATACATTTTGTGGTAGTACAAATACAACTTTTTCAGCTTTTGAAATTCATCTTGACTCAACTCACTCGAAATATGATTAAAATCTAGAACTTTTTTCATATTATATTATAAAACATATTTAACTAATATGAATGATAATAGCGTTGATATACTGAGTAAAGCAATCATATCTGTTTGATGGGGATTATTACGAACATATTCCGAGCATATTCATGGTGTATTCGGCAAGATTCGAGACGCTTTCGGTGATTTTACAGTTCAGAGTTTAACTGGATGATAATACTATTTTAACAAGACATTTAATTTGAAGTTTTTCTTCTGTTAACACAAATTTTTGACAAAAAATTACAAAATTCATTCAATTTTTGCTTTTCATCGAATTTTGCTGTATTTGAGCAAAACTTTTAATCATGAAAAAGTCAACCCTGGAAAAACTTAAGTGGCAGAATTCTGACCGTGGCTCAAGCCACTTTCGCCATGGCCTAGATCCGCCCCTGCTAGTTCCAGGTGTTTACTGCGGGCACACCATAGATATAGTAGGTCTAGATCGCTGACGAGTGTGACGTCATATAAGACTTATTAAGACGGCAGCGTGACATTCATGATAAATCCAAGATGGCCCGGGAACCGGGCAAAAAACTTAGGGCTTGTATTAGGCAATTGTTGTTTTTTGCGGTTTACTTCGTTTAAGTGTTTTCAAACTCCTCCAATCAAGTTTTATTGGAAACAAAGCGTTATTAATAATGTTTTGAAGCCATATTAGACAGTTATTATTGGAATACAGGTGAAAATATCGCTTGCGAAGTGTTGTGTAAATTGGTCGTTTGGTTGTCTCGAGGCGTTTGTCTACCAAACTAAACGGATTTTGTCTGCTTTAGTTCCCATAATTGTTCGTCCACATTGAAATACATGATATTGAATACATACAAAAAGATGGGAAAATTAATCTTCATCGAAAGGCTTTATCTGCTGCTTTTACTACTTTTACCAATGAGGACGATGGACTTGTAAGCTTGCCATAGGTCTTGAAAGATGTTAAGCTTGACTTTAATGAACCTTCATGACAGTATGAGTGGTCAGGTATGAGAGGTTGGTCATCATTCTCTATGGTTAAGGCAGTTGCACATTCAGCACACTTGATGCAACTTGTAATTTTCTTGGCTATGTATCCACTGATATAGGTTAGTACATCATAAATATATACATGACATCCTTCAGATTGCAAAGAAAAAAAAATCAATTTTATGTTAAAGAGAACTGAGCAAGTTTTTGATCGTGATTGCAAGTTGTATAATGATATACAGAGCGTTTTTTAATTATTCCGTAGAGATCAATGTGAAAATGGACGAAGCAGCCATATTGGGGTTTCACAAAAAAGAACTCTACTGAAATTCTTTTCAATTGGTACACTAACATGGCGGCTATGACGTCATGTGAAAACGCTCTGCTATAGTTTATCAAACAGTTGTCGTTTTGTTTTGTTTGTTTTTATGGTTTGTACATTATTAATATTATTATGCGTCTGAAGTAACAGGAAATTACATGGAATAGTTACCATAATGGTAAAGTTATTTAAATAGATAAAGTGATTTATGAAGATGGCGAATGCCATGGTGAATAGCCAAAATAACCTAATAGTTCTGTTTCAGAGCTAAAAGACGCGATGCATTTCGACAGACTACTCCACAGACGTCAACGTCTGCCAAAGAAAGATTTTAAAATCTATCTGGTTTGTGTTCTGGTTGTAAACAGTTCTTTTCAGAACTATAAGTTTATTTTGGTTATTTACCACGGCATTCGCTATCTTTAAAACTTTAATTTTTAGATTTGTCACCACGACAAAGACTGTATTCTATGATTTATGAAAGTTTTCTGCTACTTTTCAAAACTAAAAGAAACTATTTTGCTACCTGACATAAAAATATCAAAGATAAAAATAGTGATGACACACCATATATATAATAGAACTAGATTGCTGACGAATGTGACTTAATATAAGACTTATTAAGACGGCAGCGTGACATTCATGATAAATCCAAGATGGCGCGGGAACCGGGCAAAAAACTTAGGGCTACTATTAGGCAATTGTTGTTTTTCGCAGTTTACTTCGTTTCAGTGTTTTCAAACTCCTTCAATCAAGTTTTATTTGAAAGAAAGCGTTATTAATAATGTTTTGAAGCCATATTGGACAATTATTATTGAAATACGGGCGACAAACATCGCTTGCGATGTGTTGTGTAAATTGGTCGTTTTGGTTGTCTCGAGGCGTTTGTCCACCCAAATAAACGAAGAAGTAAATTGCGAAAAACATCAATTGCTCTATAGTAACTCTGTGTTTTTGCCCCTTTCCCACGCCATCTTGGATTTATCATGGATGTCACGCAATATGGCCGCTCGTCAGCAATCTAGAGCTACTATATCTATTAAATATTGTTGTGAACCATCATGTTTGTTACACAGCACGAATAAAATGGCGGACTGGTTAGGTCACTATCTCCGAGGGATTCTTTAACACTAATACAAAATAAAAAACTCTATAAAACAATCATCAAATGATGTACAGTAACTGACCCGATGAACTTCACATCCGTAATATTTTACAAGACTGTCGTGTGTTAGACCTTCAAAAGCTTTTATTTCATCAGCCAAGTTTGTGAAGGCGCTGTGATCGTTAGGATGAAATGTTATCTATAATTTAAGGAAAAAAACACAACCATCATTAATAACTCTGTCCTCCTAGCTGTAAAACACAACCAACATTAGTAACTCTGTCCTCCTAGCTGTAAAACACAACCATATCTTTACTCGGACTTAACAGTCATCAAGTTAATGATACACGCTTAAGGCGGAAAGAGGTAAAGTATAAAATAGTTCAGTTTGGCAAATAAAATGGTAATATTTTCTAATCAAAATGTTCAAGGATAATTGAAATGTCATGGTTCTTTTCTTGATGAAAATCAGCAAGGCGGAAAAAATCGCGGAAACACATTTTTGGAAACTATAAAACGCTAAACTGTCTTCATCGAGACGAAAACAAACCTGTTTCATTGCAACCACTTCTTCCGTGTCCAAATTCACACATGAATAAACTTTACCAAACTGTCCTTCACCTAGAAAGATGTTCAAATGTAGACATACAATCAAACATAAGATGGAGTTTCTATCTTCATTGAGAGTATTGTCACAGGTGAAATGAAAGGCGAAGGATTTAAGATAGGCGCGTATGACATGAACAAGGCAAGGAATACAGGTAGGAAGAGAATAGTAGTCATTGAACTAAAATATATGGAACGCTACCTGTAATACAAAACCCTAATAATTTTTTGAAGCCGTGATTTTACCCCAGGCACGCGTGTGTAGTCAACCAATTTTCACTCCGCGAGAGAATCTCGAAACAATACACACGCGTGTCTTGGGTAAAATCTCGCGTGTCTGATGTAAGATTTGGCTTCAATTGTTTGCTTCAGGTGGCGTTCCATGTATTTTAGTTCAATGGTAGTAGTAGAGTAACTCAGAGGAGAAGAAAACCACAAAGAAGAAAAACCAAGAAAATGAGTGAGGATGCAAGGGGTGGAAGGGAAGGCGAAGAGCGGGAATGCCTAGGGATATACAAGACTCGGGGGGATGCCAAGAGTATAACAAAGCCAATGGAACATTGACAACTCGGAAAGTTACAAGAAAACCGAGTCGTGTACAGAAAACTTTAGGATGGAAACAAAATTCCACAAATAAGTTTAATAAAATTAGATGAAAGGCGTAGAAGACAGGGGGAGTATTAGTTTTTCGAGCCAAAAAAAAATTAAACAAGTGCAATACTTTGAGTTGAGCAAAAAAATGTAGAAAGCATTTTTTACTCCAACAATTCTTGTATTTCTATTTGACCACCGTTTAAATAACGAAAATGAATGGTAATTCGATGAGTTGCGTGCATGTAGAGGGATTGGGGTGAGAATAATATGATTGTGTGCATGTGGGGGGATTGGGGTGAGAATAATATGATTGTGTGCATGAGGAGGGATTAGAAGGAATGAATGTGTGCAGGGGAATTGGGAATAATATGATTGTGTGCATGTGGAGGATTGGGGCGAGAAAATGAAATGATGCATACAGCTATTACGTGTAAATTATCATAGTTTCCGCACACCAATAAACACAAGGATACAGAAGATTTCAAAAATAATACTGCATAAATCAACATTATTCCCCATACCTATTTTGTTTCCACGCTGCCATTTGAAAGGTACTCGTTTGGGTATCACAGCCAGTTCACCAGCAAGATCCCGTTTCTTGTTACTAACTTTCCCTATCATATGTTTCTCCAGTAAGCTGATATGTCGTTTACGCTCAAGATCAGCTATACTCTTACGTACTTTCGATATTCTATTGGGTACAACTTCATCCTCATTCACAGCTTCGTTTACTAAGATAGAAAAGATCGTGTTTGACTCAGGATCAACTGCACTTGTAGCGACCTTTATATGATCAGGGTTTAGGATTAGCTAGGATGTACAATAGTGTACATTAGAGTTTAGAATTTCGGTTTATGATTGGCTAAATAGTACAATACTGTTTGCAGAAATAGTTTTAAAGCTTCTGCATTTATATTTGTATAATAAAACAATTATTGAATTCGACTGTCGTATGATATCAACAATTATTCAGACCTCGGTCAACGTATTATTTCTAGGGGGAGTCACACCTTTCCCCCTACTTTCAGCGGGAAGGTGTCACACATTATGTCTGGGGGGTGTCATATCTTAGTCCTTATTTCTGAGGGGTGTCATTAACACAAAACGGTTCTACTACATCATGACAATACGATGAAAACTTACCGGTCGTAACAGAGCGTTTTACATTCTGACGACCTGGTTCAGAGATCGTTCTTGAAGGGTGGATGTGCGATTGGGTACCAGGGTAAGTAGAGGAACGCGCAAATCGTGTGTTTGGAGACATTTGGTTGCAGCTCGCCGAGACACTCAATGTGTGTGGATTCAGGGGCGGATCTAGGATTTTTCAAACATCAGTCATAAAACGTCGGAGGCGCTCCGCACCTGGGGGGGTCTGAGGCTATCTCTCCTGAGAAATTTTGAATTTCAGAGCCATTTTTAAATTTATTAGCACGACGAATTTCTTATTTTTACTTTTATTTTACAGTTTGCCTGGGATGCGTGGCATTTATGGAAAAGTTGGTCCAAACGAGAAAATACCATATTTTCATTTGTTTATAACAGTAGATTTCAAGAATGTTGATGAAGCTGTATTGAAAGATAAAATCGATCAAATGTTTGGACCGAATGCTTCTAGATACTTTGAATTTCGTCCAAAACCATCGAAAACACTAAAACTTCAACTGCTATCAAAGATTGCAGTAGAAAGAAACAGTCGGTCAGTTTCAAGAGGCAGGGAATGATGAAGGAAGGGAATTTTTGACGCGTTGTTTCGTGCACGACCCTCACGAGACATGGAACGCAAGACAGCTTGAAAACCTCACTTTTCTGAAAGTATGATTTAATGCACATTTCGCGGGTAAGAAATGGAGTGTTGAAGTATTTATTTAGTTGATAGATGATGTAGAATTTGTTTTCGTTTGTCACACGATATAAAACATTGGATCATACAGAGGTAATGGCAATACTTCATCTAATACAATACATACATAACTTTTACATAATACGGTTGATAAGAATCTTTTTGAGGAGCGTAAATTTAAAGAGCCTGGGTACAAAGTTGCAATTTAATGAATTTGTGATTTTTCGATCACAAATATCATTATTATGAACATTTACTTTGTACAACAAATATTAATGGTTTTGAAGTTCCAATGGATCATAATGGTTCGCCATTTACTTATTCTGTTCAGGATCACCATCTATTACGGTCAGATTCATTTATGTTGTGTTATTTATTGGTTTGTCGTCGTGATACGTATGGAGTAATTTAATTTAAAATTTATGAAGTCGGAATTTTTTTGAAATCTCATTCACTTTCTTCATGAACACTAGAAAGGTTTTTCAAGTTTTGTCTTCAATTTAAAAGTATGCCTTTTTTCATAGTCTATCTGTTCTACTTTGTATCTGCACTACATCTTGAGTAACCGTTTCTTTTAATTTTTTTTCCCGCAGATAAATGTGTTAAAAAATATTTCATCTTTGCTATGGAGCTCAACTGCTGAATACGTATGCATAGCGTCTGAAAATTGAACTTGAAGAAAGTACTGTGTTTTATTTATTGAGAGAACATAAAATCTATCGAAGTTTGGTATTTTGCATTTTTATATTATTTTAGAAAATACGTCAACTCAAAGGCATAGACCATAAATATTTTTTATTATATAGTTAAAATGTAAATGTGTTTTAAAATATATGTATAGAACGTGTGTAGATCTGTCTTATGTTTAAAACTTGTGAGCCAAATTTTGATGATAATAAGCTAATAATACACAGACAGTTTAGATGACTAAAATTTCAACAGTTTTTACCATGTTCATGTGGTCTAATTTCTAAAATGATGCAGGTGGGTGGAATAAACTTTTAAGAAATTTTTTCAACTTGCTCAAATCGTCTTCATCGACGGACAAGGATTGAACATGATGAATATGTAGACGATTGAGACGAAGTTGAAGTCGTCTTCAATAATGTTTTTAAATTCCAATTGATCATTATTGAATACAATAATGTATTGACTATTTGTTTTAGCTGTTCTTAATTTTGTATTTCCGTAATTTAAATTTTGACATGTAATATGATGGAAAAATCCTCATGATGACAGTCTCGTGTAGAAATTTCATCTAATTTTTTTGTATTATCTTTATTATCCGTTGCATTAATCATTAAATCGTCCAGTATTATTAATGTTTGATTTCCTAATTTTTGTTTTATGTCAGTTACAGAGGGTATGTGCAATTTACATTTGATAAATTCGTAATTTTGCAGGGCTGTATTTTTTTGTTCATTAATAATAGATTTTATTTCGTCAAACATTTCTTGATAACTAGACGAGTAATAATATAAAAGTTTTGTAAAAGGAGGTTCAAAGATTTCATCATTAAATTTTATCAATTCTTTTATAAAATGTGTTTTTCCACATTGTGATGGTCCACAAATAGTCATCATAAAAGGATATTGAAATTTTACAACTGGTTTATATATCATATTTTCAATCTAAAAAATAACCATAAGGAATTGTAAAAAAATTATCTAATACTATACGTTTATCAAAAGTGAATGCAAACTTTTTCACTTCTTCGTTTAAAAATACATTTTGTTGGTTATCACGTGATATTTTTTCTTTATAAATTACTTCAATTATTTTTTCATTATCTTTTACACACTCATTTATCGAATCGAATGTTATTTTTCTTTTCCCATCACCCTTTAAAGAAAATCCTTTTGCATGCACTATTTCATTATTTTTATCTGTTTTAAAAGAATAACTTTTTGGTCCCGTAGAACAAAATGATACAATATATTCACCATTTTTTAATTCGTTAGTAAGGTCATCTAGGTAATTACCCGTTTTAATATCATTTCCAGCAACACTAATGTAAATTATTGAATCGGTATCATAATATAAAACTTTGTCTTGCAGCTTATGTAGTACATTTAAAAGCTCTAATCTTGCATAACTTGTTACAATGTTTCATTTTTTTATGTGTTGTTCTTAAAATATCCGAAGACACGATATTTAAAGAAGTTAATTCGTTAGTATGATTGTTTGCTAAATACAGTAGATCATATAAGTTATTGATAAATGATACTTTAACTACATTATCATTTTGTGCAAACTTTCCCCATAATGAATTTAAAATCATTTTCATAATGGTACGAATACATATATTTTTCTTAATATTACTTCTATCTAATTGAATTCCTTCGTGTTCATAATAATCTAATATAAATTCATTTAATTTTTCTTCATTAACAGTTTTTTCATCCTCATTAACAGTTTCATCCTCAGTTTTATTATAACATTCTTTAGGAATACCACTATTTTCTTGTTTGATTTTCATAAAATTATCTACAAACCCTCCGAAAATTTTACCCCTGTTTTTATTATGATAAATTTCATATATTTTAATTATTCTATAACCACATTCAATAGCTTTATTTATTTCAACACTAGTCCATGTACCCCTTAATGCCCTCTTCTCATCATTATGATTACATTTTCGATTTTTTTCCATAGCACAAGTGTAACATAGTGTAAATATTAATTTATTATCAATGCGTAAGGGTAAAACAGGAAATAAAAGTGTAGTAGGGGGTAATATACAGCATTTAATTAACCCAAACACACTTCCGACATCAATATTTAAACATTCTTCCTCTAAATATATTTCGGGATGATTTAAAGGATATTCATACTTTTTTTGAACATATGGGTATAATGACGTAAAGTCAACATATTTAACCTTTTCATTTTCCTTCACTTCATAATATAAACATGAAGGTGATGTTCTACCACCATATAATGCATCATGTGGATGCAACAGTAATACATTAAAAAATTCCTCTTTCCTACTTTTTATTTCACTAATATTTTTATCTTTTAAATATTCACATTCCCACATTTCGACTACATTATAATTATTTTCAATTAATTGTTTTGAAAACTGTTTTGTTTGCATTCGTAAAAAATACATTTTTTCTTTTTTCAAAGTATTATAATCATCGTTATTAAAACATTTATTACAACCGTGGAAAAAACATCCGTGAAATTGATATACAGTATTGTTTTCTTCACAATACCCATCAACAAATCTAGCTAGAATTTTTCTTTCTCCATTAATGGATAGTTTGTATTCTAAAGTGTAACCCGTTTCATCTAATTCTGATTTAACTTCACTCAACCAACATAATGCTATTAAACTTTGCATGGTATTACCCCTGTACCCGAATGATGGAATTTGTGCAATTTTATCATCTTGTAAATAATTACTTCTAAATATTTTTAATGTTAAACCAGCAATTGTTATGCATGTTGTGTCGTAAAAAGGCAAAATATTTGTAATGTTGTAGATTAAATTTGAAAATTTTATACATCCAAGCCTTAGTATATTAACATCATTACTACAATAATAATAAATTGCATCTCGAAATACGTATTCTTTTTCACATTGTTTGTCATACCATGTGTTAAAATCGTTTGTTTCATCTTCTGAAATATCAAAATATTTTTTATCAATCATATTTCCCCTATACGTCAGATCAAAAAATTTGTATGGGTGATATCCTTTACAATGTTATCAATTTCAAGTGATTTTGGAAAGTCTGCTAATTTCATGTTTAAAAATGAATAACTATCACTAATTTGCAGATTAATTTCTTTTATTTTTAAAGATAAAATTTTATTCCCGTTCATAACAGTTTCCGGAATTAAATTTTTTTCTGTCAATAAGTATTTTAATAAAAATATTGTATCAAATCTACCACCATTATGTGCAATCCAAACAGAATTTTTTTGTTCTAACATAAACTGAGCTAACCGTGATGTTACATCATCATTATTACAATCAAAGACAAATTGACGATAACCACAACAGTCAACGTGGTCAATTGATAAGTCAGTAATATAATCCATATCGGGTAAAAAATACTCAAAATTTTTATGAAATGGAATTTTTTCACATTTACGACATACTTTTTGAACAACACAATAAAATGGTATCATTAAATTATTTTCATCTGTTTTTGTTTCAAAATCAAAGAAAAATAACGTTGGTGTAGACTTATACTTATTAAATTCTAAGGGTTTGATATGACATTTATGTTGTTTGTCCAAATATTTTCTACAATGAGCACAATATGTTTTTTGACAATCATATAAAACAACCTTATTTTTTTTAACAAAGAAAAATCTTGGAACAATTTTATTACATGTATTACAAAAAAAAATTTTTGACATGGTGTGACTTTAATACTATTCTTATTTTTAAACAATTTATTAAGCAGATG